AAGAAAAACTAGAACAATAAGAACCCGATTCCTAAGTTGTAGCGTTACCTGAGATTTAACTGAAAACCATAAATTGTGTTCAAAATGTTATCCAGTAAATAATAGTGTTTCATTGAGTAAAATATTTAATGAACTATCAATGTGAACAACTTTTATGTATTTATCACCCAGACGGTTATTTGTAGCATCGTTTTGCAATCAGTTTCATAAGGTTCCTCACTACTCTTAAGTAACAATAGTTTCGACGATTCGTAACTCATTTGTTGGCGACTTAATACCTCTTTGTTAGATGGATTTTCAATCCCATTAAATAATTATTCTTTATAGCTAATGTATTGTGTCAACCCTTGTGTTTTACGTTAAACTTATTGATAAATATACTAAACAATGGTTTATAGTGGCTTCAGTGTTACTATAAAGTGATGTTTATTTTTACTTCATATGGGATCATCTAAAAAATGCAAAATACGGTGTAATGCAACTCTACACAATCCAGCACCGATTTGTATGCATGTAAAACTATCGTAAAACGACTAATGCTTCTATCCAGCCATTAGGCCATTAGCACCTAATTAGGTGAAGTGGAATTCGAACAGATAGACAATCGGGGAAACGGCTGCACAAAGTAGTAACAGGAAGTTAACGGTAAATGTAATGTCATATTATTTCTTATAATTTAAATGTATACATTCTCAGTTCTCTTTTAATTGATGATAAGTGCAATAAATTGGACCACTGTATTTTTATACTCTATACCAAAAATGTAGGGACTAAAGCTTCTGGTCTATTCTGCAAGCTATATTTATAGAAACACTCATTACTCGAGTGAAACTTTTGATAACAAAAGAGAAACAGATTGCTTTAAGTCACATCCTGTAAATCACGCCATAGTCTCACAACTTTTCGAATACTTTCCATGCAGTCACTCACACATGACACGAGGAGATAACTATTTTCTATCGAGAAGAGTCACTAACCTCTGATTGAGTGTATCTTTTCCCTTTGCTCAGTCCAGCCAACTACACACAATAATTGACATGGAAGCCAACAGGATGATTTGCAAGGAACGTGTTGATCTATCGAATGATGATCTCTGTCAAACTTAAACGTATGCGTGATACCTCGGAACTACTCACATAGAGTTGATGTAATATAAACTCATTGCAACACTCAATGTCTCACTAATTTGAGTTTATACAGTCAGCCTTATTACTTTCGTTTGCTTGTGACCTGGCATGTGGGAACACGCCGGTGACAGAGAGGTGAGGAGTTAGTGTTGATCACTACGTCACAAGTGCATGTCCATTGAACGCCGTTTAAATTTCAGTGTACATGAAATTTACTTCATGAGTCAACAAGTATTACTTTGCTGGGATCATGAATATGGACTCTCCAAACAACTAATTATAGTAAACGCATAGTTCCCGATGACAATCAACCAGTTAAAATGAAGTTATCATCACTGCTATTGTCAACTCATTAGCCAAAACACGTACTATAAACAAATGCAAGTATCTGTTAATTCTTCCTACAAATTTTGCTAGCCAAATAAATTCAACTCTAACCAAGTGAGGCGATAGCTCCGTGTTTAACTGTTAGTATTTGAGTGATGTGTCTACTCCACTCATGCGTGGCCCTGAAACTATGCTCGTTAAATAGCCTAACAGGCTAATGTACATGTGAAAAATAAGTCATTAACTTATCATTTATTTGTGTGAGATTACTAATTGGGATCAACTATATTTCATAAGATCTTCGCTTCAACACTAACAATTTGTACATGATTTCCATGTATTCTAACCGAACAATCTCTACAACTGGATGCTAAACAGTATAAAATGTAACAAACTCAACCCACTTGCATAGTTGGTTCGATAGCTACGCCGCGAAAAGTAATAGACGCAGTGCTATTTTGGAATCAAAGGACGAAACTATCGATTGATGAGGACCTAATTCACTGGCTTAGGCTATAGTAGTAATATGTCCTAGCTACAAAACACACTACATTATTATTATTATTATTATCACACACCTTAACACAATAGGTTTAATCCAGTATTATATCTCTCAGCTGCGTATAATCTATTTCAGGATCTCAAGTAGGGATCACTAATTACTTTGAACCAACTTAGAGTAGCTTGAGCGATTTACACTTAAGCTGTATTCACTTCTCGTTGTAGGCAAATGTAGATACAGGTTTATGAGGAACATTTAGTTCGTGAAGAAATACTACACTATCCGGTTGGTTCAGAGGAAGTCAAGTGACACGTGGGAAGTTGAGGGCTACAGTCGATGGGCAGTCCACGCGACACTAGTTTTAAGTTTTCAACCTCTCCAGAAGCAGTTTTAAAGCACAAGAAAAGACTCCTACCACAGAGTTATCTACTCCCTACAAAAGGTATATCGTAAGCGATTTGAATTTAGATTTGTGTAGACCGTTGGTTTACAGTGATATGATATTATCTACACACCTTGAGCAATCTAATGTTGACCAATCATAACACAGACGATACTGAGGTCGAAGTGGCTGGAGATACTGCCGACCACTATGTTACTCATACTTTCCAAGCACTTTTTAAGGAAACAAACAATATAATGCCTATTGCACAGTTTTTGACAGTAAGCTTCTGTACCAATGTCACACGATTCTCTGATAAATGAAACGCTTTCTGAGCTACGAAAAATAAATTCCTTGAAACTCTTGAAATTCAGTATGCAGCTTTTAGAGATAGACTACACATAAACAAAGACTGAATGAGTCTCAACATAGAGCTTATCACAGAAGTGCACCAGTTCAAGTTGCCACATTCCATAAAGCACACAAAGGAAAACAAGACAGAGTAAGGAGATTCGGAAGAATGATAATAAACAGAAATGTGAGGAAGAAAGAATAGTAACATAGTGTAACAATAGGCTTTTTGGATGTGGTAGACGACAAAGAGTGAATGAATCTGTGTGCCACTGAGAACGACTTTGAGCCATATCACTGATTATCTCCAGCTACTATTTCTTAGGATCCCGATCACTCCAAACAAGTAATCTATACCCCTCTATGTGGCTCAGACTAACTGTTAAGGATTTCATGGAATGATGCCATGTTTTCTTCTGACCACTACTAGCTCTTTTCCAACCTAATCCTATGTCAGCTAATATTGCCCATCGGGGAAGGAGACGGCGACGTGCCCTAGCCATTTCAATCGATGTAGCTTCACAACCTCATCGATAGATCTCCCCTTCTTACCCAACGACTAACCTCGATATTACTCACTATATTACACCACATAACACGGAAGATAGAACAGACACACATGATCAAAGACAGCTAGCCTTTTCATCATGTATTCCACTTTCAATGACCATGTCTCACAGCCACAAAGGAGGATAGACCAAACTACTGTATAGTACATATATCCTTTGATCGATAGTCGGATATCACGTCCATGCCAGAAACGATGTGAATTGGTAAATGCCACATGTGCCTTTTGTATCCGCGCTGAGATCTCGTAAGCAATCACTATATCAGGTCTCATGCAACTTCTCAGATAAGGGAAGTGGTCAACAAGCTCAATCACTTCACTTCTTGTCTTCAGACCAAGAGTCGGTGCAAACCAGTGCTGCAGAACCGCCTTACATTTGACAGGGGTGAATCGCATGTCATACATTCGAAGACTGCAACTCAAGGTGTTCAGAAGACTCGGTATCTCATCAGCGTCTTCATCTAGAAGTAATATGTCATCCGCATATTCTAATTCGACAAGACTATTTATACCCTGGTGACAAGTCAATCCATAAGTAACTGAAGTCAATTAGGATCAACTTCCAGTAGTACATCTATGATGACATTAAACAGAAACGGGGACAGTGGGCATCCGTGAAAGACACCACTGGCTGTCATCACTTCAGATGGAAACTCTCCATAAGCTCTTGCACAGCTGTATGAGTTCGTGTAGGGTGCCCTGATTAGTGACATACCTTCTCGACCAAACATTACCGTAATACTACTCGGTCGACAGAGTTGAATTCCGCCTTCACGTCAGGAAATGTGGCGATTGTTAAACGCCGGTAAATATTCCTGTTCCAGAATTTGTCGAGGGGTGAATAAATGATCAATACACCCTCTACCTGGTCTAAAGCCTGCCTGGTTTTATCATGTTTATTTCTCTCCAGCACCACTTAATCTACGCGTGACTATTGAGCCAAAAACTTTAGATATCATATTAGTCAAGCTATTCCCTTTATGATTACCACAGGAAGACTTGTTTCCCTTCGTGTATATCGGGATGATCAGTGACCTACACCTGCACGACGCGACAGACAACAACAGGGGTATGAACAAATGTGCTCAAGTAAGAAATTTTAGGCAGCTCAATGAAAAAATGCAACAATTTATAGGTATTTTCTGCAACGCTTTTATTTACTGTTTAAATCCCTCAAGATCCTTTAATAGGGTAACGGGAGCAAATTATCTTTCAGATGACGTGTTGGATCCAGATACCATGCACTGTTTACTGTCTTTTTCACGACGTTAATAATGTAGCAGTATCTGTATAAATTTTTAGCGGTAAATAATGTCCGAGTCTATAAGAACATAAACATTACACACAAAACTTTCACACTGGCAGATGACACACTACTTCCCTCTTAAGTTTAACCAACTACACAAAAATCATAGGAGCTCCAGGAACTACTGTTACTCAATCCACATTTCATAGGAATAATGTAAATCGTAAGAACCGATTAAGAAATTGCTAGAAATGCTAATGTCAACAAAAGATTTAAATTGTATTTAAGCTGAAATCATTCACGTTATGTACAGCACAATTGAAAATAGCATACCCAATTAACTGGGAGAGTTACGTAATAAATTGAAATAATTCAAGCTGGTTCATCCCAGGTTTTATGTTTCCCCACAGTAAGATTAATAATTTTCACATGCACTGCTTGATACTTTTCATTCTTTGGTGGGATGAGCATCTTACGGTATTCCACGACATCTCCTTCTATTGGCACATACTCACCATCAATACTTCAGAACTATTAAGGAGTTAATAATAACTTACTCAAAAACATGAACGAACAGATAATCACCGCCATCATCAGGTTTTATAAAACCATGGCCCTTTTGTCGACAAAAACTCACTATTACACCTCTTCCACATTCTCCTGATAATGCATTTTCTGACTGCGATTTTGTACGATTTCGTTTGTGAAAAATTGGACTAGGGATGACCAGATGAGGTGCAGGGCTACGAGGAGGCTCCATTTTCCGAAGAACTAGTTATGCTTTCAAACGAATTGACGTTAAAGAATGGATTATCCCACTACTAGAAGACTGCTATAAAGAAGGGTTTAAAAGAGCGTAAGTTGCACATATGTAGTCGTCTTTACAAGAATTTTTTATCTGTCAAATAAGCAGAAGTCTTGCAATGTCAACTGCAGCTACTCTCAATTACTGGAGGGTACAAAAATGTGAGAAATACCATGCAAAAGAGAACGTACAGACCCAACAGAAAATTAACGTACACAGAACCTCGCGAAAATTAAATTGCCGCCTTTCAATATATTCAATGTGTTGCGTGGGAGGAGCGATAACTGACAGACACCATCTTAATATTACAGCGTGTTTTTACTATCATTTTCCACCTATCAATACCCGGCGAGTCCGACATCCAATATCGTTTTCACGAGTTAGTGTTTTATCTTTTTTATTCATGATAGCTTGATTCCACACCGTATTTTCGGTACAAGTATGGAATTTTCAGCATGTGATGTTGGTAGCCCAATTTTGCAGGTGGGTGTGCGTTGGCAGGAGATCGAACCCCATACCATGTGCATGGTCGTCGAGAGTCCTAACTGCCCTGCCACCGGCACACAGAGCGTGTGTCGTAGGTGGGATGAACCGATTTGAGTTCTTTGTGCTCGCTTCTTGATCGCAAGGTAAAGGTTCCTTATCTTCGGGAAACTTCTGCATAGCTCGTTCTGCCACTCGACTGCCGTAGCTTTGGTTGACTCTAAAAAGAGTAGCGCTGGGATTAATTATATGTTTTTTGTAGTATGCGGTGTGTTAATACTGTTGCTACTGTGAATGGAGTTGACCCTTTCACCAGTTTATCCTCCGGTATCGTCGTCAAAAGAAAATATGTAATAATAACGATAGATATAATTAGTGAAGTTGTTCGGACTGAGAGACAGAAAAAGTAATAAAGAAAACGTAGAACAAACAGCCAATTAAATTTGAAGTTGATATATATGTATAGTAGGTCATGTTGAACTGTGTCAAATGCCTTCGCAAAGTCTAGGAAGATCACATGAAGTGGAACATTCATATCGTATAATGATATCCAGTCGTCCCGAGCTGATAGTGGGTTTGTTACACGGGGTCTGCCTTTGCTGAAACCGTGATGGACTTCATGGAGTCTATTAGTCCTATCTAGATGCTCCCTGATGTGATCATTATTATTCTTTCTAGTACTTTTGATAACACTGGGAGTAGGGCCACTGGTCTATAACTAGTGGCATTTTGCCCATCCCCACCCTTGAAGATCGGAGAAAGGATGACTTTTCCACTCCCTTGGCAGTTTCACCGAATCCATCTAGTGTTGGAATAAGTCGCACAAGAGCCTACAGGGAGCTTCGCCGCACTATTTCAGAACAGATGGCCTGATGTCATCAAAACCTGGGGATTTTCTAGATGTCAATCTATGTAGCTTCACAAATACTATTGCCGGGTTTAATTTGGGACTAGCCACTAGGCCTTCCTTCGGTAAAATAGTAGTGTGGTACCAGTAATACCCACATTGGTGTTTAACTGTTTCGCGAAGACTCAACTGAATGTTTCCGCCATCCCTAGAATAGTGAGGTATTGACCGTTTGGACCTACTAAGAAGCATACCCCCTGGTTGGTTGGTTTCCTTTCCAACATTAATCGAAACAAGCTTTTAAGGTTTTCTAGGAGACTAGTGACTGCATGGTCACTACTTCCTAAGGGACTCATGATCTGGACCTTTTCGACGAGTAGTTGGTCACTAGTTAGAATGCACTCTAGTATCGATGACTTTTCATTAGACCCCCACCTGGTGTCTTCTCTAACATCCCAGTCCGTCCTGTATTTCGAATGGTTTGCAGTAGACTTCAATCGAATTTTCCCTGAGAATACCCCGGGTCAAGTCTCAGTGATGGCGCATTAAAGTTTCCAGCTGTGGTTATTTGGTCATAGGCCGAGTCCCGTATCCCTATGATGGGGCTGAGCAGTAGCTGTCTGTGCTCTGCCCCGCAGGTGGGTGGTCGGTAGATACCACCCAGTAAGTGCTTGGTGTGGCCTACGGTGAAATGACACCATATGGGAATTGAATTTGACACTTTGCAGCCTTGGGGAACTAATGAGTGTGAGGTGAACAGGGCGAGGTAGTCAGAAAATGGAGATTGCTCCAGAAGCGCCATCTGAGATGACAGCCACCTCCATTGCTGTACGTCATGCATGTGTTTTTCACAATCAGTGCCCGTTTTCAGCTCCGGAACGCCGTATATGACCATAGAAGTAGAAGGCATCAGTTCCAGTGACTCCCACACCATTTGCCTGTTAGCCCACGGTCTATCATGTCTCACTCTTATGCTAGAATTCCTGTCGATAGCTAGCATTTGAGTCACTGATAGTATCCTTTCAGCCTCTCCGGAAGAGCCCAGTGTAACGCTTAATGAGAGTGGCTTGCCCTGAGGTGCGTGGACACCCCTGTACAGGCTGCAAAATGTTGCTGAACTAATATTCAGACCTAACTAATTGCACAAAGTGGACCACTATTTCTCATCAAACAGGTCCCGTTGTTCAAGCCACTATCCTTGCTCACGGGTACATTAAAGGGAATTAGAGCAACTCTCCTCAGAATTAGGTTTGGCTTTTGGCTGCTTGTAATCCTTTGCAAGGTCAGTAACTTTGGATTTCACCACAAATTTATTGGTGAAGCCGTTTGCATATTTACTTTCACACAACTTGTATCACATATTATTGTAGTGGCATGTCCATTATTTCCTTTCATTTCAGTATGTTTACACCTGTAACACCAACGCCATCCGCCTTACAATCAACCCTTTCACCGTTAACAGTCCAAATTGCAGAAATGGAAGCGTCAGCTTCAAAACTTCGGTCATATGATCGTCGAATACAATGACCGCGTAGAATTCTGCCCTCCAGGACATAGTCTAGGACAACCACAGGACACGTGAGACGCACTGATAAGTAATTCGGATATGAGGCCACCAGACGCAGACACCCTTGTAGTTTCAGTGATGGTGTTGCAGGTCAGAGAAATGGACATTAGTGACAATGCTCCTTCACACATGTTACGTCTAATAATGCGGCTCTAAAAACTAAGGTTTTAATTTACGCGCCATGTTTCATTTCGTGTCAGTAGTACCGCTTGTGCCTCACTGAACTATGGTATATTTTTGCTTAGATGCACATTTTTACCAACGTAAATTTGGAGGTTTGTACCATATTTATCTGATGCATTTGTTCAGTAGAACGATGACTTGCACTTCTTCAGTGGTCTATTAGCGCTATAATTCGAATCGGAACACTGGTTTTGTCTTGGATTTTTATGACAGTCTGCGAGTCCGTTTCTGCAGAGCTCTAAACGTGTATTGGCTGTAACAACAAGGTTAACTGCTCACTGACTGTTGTAGTGATCTCCTGGAGTTCTTCACTTCCGCAGATATCAAAACATAGACCGATCGTCTAAATTGTGGAACATATCCTAGGATCAGCAATGTACAGCAGCGTGCCGATGGTCTGGATAGCCCAAAAGAACATGGAGCTTAAGCAATTAATTTCATCACTTAATATTGTATGAGGAAGGCTACAACCTACTAATTTTTTGGAATCATTAACCGCCGCGCAAGAATCATCGCTTATTGCAGTGACTATCAAGTAGCATTCAGCAACTTACTGTTATGAAAATGACCGCCGACAAATCATGATGTAACCTCCAAATATTATGCCCCTTTACCGCAAATGCGGATTGCATAATGACCCCAAATAAAGCTATACCGACAACAGAAACTGGAGAACTGCAAGATTATTGATCAACCAAACTAAATGTATCAGATAAACGTGATACAAATCTTCAAATAAGAGGTTATCCGGCCTCCAAACACAAACAGTTAAATAGTTGAACTTAAAATTGGTTCACATTTAACAAAATGTCAATTCAAACAAGGACTGTGCAAGAGTCTAATAGAGCACTAACTGTTCCATTAACACAAAATGAAAAATGGGATACAAAGTGCAACAATTCAAAGTCAGATTGAAGTATGCGCCAAAGATGTTATCTAGGAAGGCAATGAAAGCTTCGTAAATAAACCTCTCAGCTCAGAGAACACGACTACTTCAAAATCATCCACCTGAGCTTCAAATATTCCCCATCATCATCCATTTTATCTAACTCACACCACCCTCTTCACTCACAACTCTCCCCTTGCATCTCATCAGGTAAAACAAGAAGCCAATATAGAAAACTATATGCTCGCACCAGCAAGTACAAAAACTCAACCATACCCTACTTAGCTCGTGTTCTGTGTGATAAAGGAAGCATTAGGCGTGACACCTATAATTCATTAAATAGTCATTAGTACAACTGGATCTCATCTTTCCAACCCACTTCATCAATAGGTACAACATTTCCTTTCTTTCTGTTCCTTTTCTCTCTCTTCTTTTTCCGTTATGTGCTGCTTTGTTTCTTTCTCTCGCTTACGCCAGTTAATAAGACAGCTCCCACTTTTCTAACACCTTCAAACACTGTTTAAGCTTTACCTTTGCTACTGAACATGCCAATGTATTGTTGTAATAATGAACTGTGGTTTCCTCAATCTATTTAGAATTCTATTTATTGATAACGTACTAACTGGATGCAATACTGTAGTAAAAATGCTGAGAATTCCATTCTGTATCACAAGTACTGTTTTGGAATAAAGCAAATAATTATTATTACTATTACTTCTCTAGAAAAAACGAGGACGAACATTTCTCCACGTTAAAATTATTTGTTTCTACCTCTGCAATCCACCAGTAGTATCATTCTGCAGTTCCACTAGCACCTATTTTTCCATGTACATATCCCTGTAGACTAAGGAGCAACAGTGAAATGTAAGTACAGGTATTAGCTCTTTCTACCACTAGGAGAATTGTCGCATCTAGGTGTGAAGTGCAACCGCCTAACGAGTGTTCGTAGTTGCACCACTTTGGAGACCCGTACGTCATTCATAACATCATCACTATGGAAGTGTGTATTGTGTCTGTCTGCAGCTTTTTGTTCGGGTAAGAGGCTTCGGTAACAGTAGTGATCACCCGGTAGAGGGTACATTGCAGCTCAATTTCCTGGTGGCGAACTACCAGCCAATGAAAATCAAGGAGATTGAAATATACTAAGTGAATATTAACTGAATAAACCTCTATCTCAACTCTGAATTCTCAGGGTATTTCAATCCCTGTTTTAGTGATACTTTAGAAATTGACCACCATGTTAAAACGATCACTCAAACTACGGCCCGACTGCAAGTGTTACTACCGAAGACTAGTTCTGATTTTGAACGTTTTCTTCTTGAAAGCACAGAAGTGGACAAGTGAATTTGTAAACCTAATCAAAGACACGAAAAGGCATTCATCATCTGACTCACAAGGAAAGCCTCAGAAATCACTAGGAAGACATGTCTCCTGCTTGGTCACCCGTGATATTCTTCCGAACTCCATAATTACACACTGGATCTGATAGGCCATAGCTCATTGTGTTGCAGAGGCCCCATAGATGGCAGCTGAGAAGGTTCTGACACGATTTTCAAAACTCTAGTGCCAATTCACACGGTCATTCATGGGGTCTCGGATACGGCCATTGTTAGACTTGCAAATGGGTCCAATATCTTCCCAAAATCTTATTTATATTCACTCTGTTCAAATATCCTCCTTTCACGAGTGCATCCTTGAGTAGTTTAGCCTTCTGAATTTATGTCTAGCTACTAGTGCATACAGGTTAAATAAGCCAGTAAATTAGTTTGTACTAAGGTGCATCAAGTTTAGCGAGGTTGATAAGGTGCTGCATCAAATGAGTACATACAGGCACTCTTGAAGTAGTGACGCTTACTTTAATATGAGAAGCAACGTATATGGCTTTCCACTCTCTTGGACCCTATCTAACTGACTGTTGTGGAAATCACCTCTTCTCAAGAGAAGGAGCATGAACATAAAGTAATGATTACGTGGTAGTGACTGCGATGAAGTGAACACAAAAATATTTTAACATTAGGAACACAATACACAAAGGTGAGACTCTTCAGCTCACCTATTATGAAGCTGTACAACTATATACGTTTACACATGATTTTTGAGATACTATGTTCTGTGGGATAATTTAGGTTAGACGAATGATACCTACTATGATTATATGGAATGCAATGGAATATATGTGACTGCAATCGTAGATAAACATCAAAGGATTCAAGAAGTTATGTACTATCCCTCGGAATTCACGAACATTCGGAAAAAGTATGAAGCTGATCACATTAGTTGGCAAATAAATATAACGTAACGAAAAATTTAATTAGATGAATTTTAGCGCCACAAAAATATACTTTATAAAAGTCATAAATGAAAGGCGTGAAGTTACTCCGGAAACTGTTCTAACGAAATTAATGCTAATATTAGTCACGATGGGGAAGGCACTCAGGTTAATTAAACGAAATGAGAAATAAATTTTTATATCTGTCTTTTCTATTCTAGGGCCAAGGTAGAAATAAGTTTTGCACACATTTTTTTGTAGGTAAAGGATAGATGATTTCTGAGTACATCTCATGCGTGACCACCCCTTAATTTCAGACTCATGGAGATGAGTTTTTCAGACAGAGTTAGTTGTTAGCTTGGAGTGTTAAACCTTCCTGTTTTATATCGAGCAAATAAGCTTCTCGGGAAGGTGCTTCACTAAATCTATCAGAAATGCAAATGTTTTCTCCCCTATTCCAGAGGGAGTGAATCAGGTTTCCTATCGTGCGAATAGACAACCATCAATAGAATATAACAAATTAATATTTCGCCTCATGTACATTTTCAGTGCATGAATATTTGAAGGGGCTTATCAGTGAGCTTAGTGAGGAATACATCTATAACAGGAATGCCTAGTTCAGATTGCTTTTCTATGGTCAATTTAAGGAATCTATATTTGCCGCTGAAGCCGTGTACCTAACACAGAAAATAGGTAACGAATATTAACATAACGGTCAGATATGGTTGCATGAGAACAGGGTATCATCATATAATAAGTCCTTCTAGGAAACAAAAATACGTGTAAAAATTTGATGTAGGTATCAGTGACTGGCAGTCTGGCCAGGTGGAGTATTTCCAAGCACCAGCAACACAATCAACTAGCTGCTGACCCAGTGATGCCATTGCAGTGAAGTGATACTCTTTGCAAATATCTTTATTGCATTTGAACTGAACTTTTGATACGAATTTAATAAGGTCTTTTAAGCAAGGATGTCAGCAACCAGACTTCAGTACACATCAGCGAATGAAGAGGTCACTTGTAATGAGAACATGACTGCTTCTGAGACGCAAAAATCTTCACTATACCAATAAATTCCAATGTATCACTAATACTATACATTATTACTTGTCTTCTGACTGTCTTAATTATTGCGCCTAACCACCGAGCATTATCATTATAAGAAGCATTGGCAATTTTAGAATCGGATAAAGCCTTAATCGTTTTTACAATGAATTGCCATTAGCCTTTACATATGAAGAATTATAAGGCAAATGGATTGTCTACGTCAGAGGATTATTTACCTCTTCCTCATAATTTTAAAACCATCTATCATTCGGTTAGCAATCAAATGGTTTTTTCATTTCACTCTCTAGCTGGACGGATGCCATGTGGCGGCGTTGTTATGATGATTCGCCAAAAATATGTCGTTGAAATATTAGTGATTCTTTATTACCTCAATAAAATAACGAGGATATGATTTAAATAGTGCCAGATTTCCCAAACGCTTAAAACGTGAAGTTTGCTTGAACAAAACTAGTAGATTCAAATTTGTTGGAAAATAACTGTCTTGGTTTTTTTTTTGGAATAAAACTTGCGTGATTTGCATCTCAATTTGAATTAAGAAAAACCAAACACACGATAATTTTCAAAATTTACAGATTGTTTTATCATGTTACGAAATTTTGTTTAAATATCCCAAGTGGAGTTTCATATCCAAATTAAAGCGGTAATTACCTCCTATAACTCCTGCACGGGTACGTTTATGTAGATTTATTTGAGATTTTCCTGCTTTTTTTTTATGTCTTAACCGAAAAGCGTCTTGAATAGCGAAGGCAGATTATCAACAGAGCACATCCAATAAGGTGTAGTGATAATTCTTATCGCTACCCCAGCATATATAGGTTGTTTTCCTGCTGACAAATATGCCCTTTGTTTCCACTTTAAGTCGAAAATTTGGAAACCAAGCAAATTCCCTAGGTTATATTATTTCCTCAGTGTTTGATTGTTTATGCGTCATTCCTTTATATAGTTGTTTCATGGTAAACTTTTCTACTCTGCAGTCTGTGTTGCTTGTCTCTCGACATGTTTAAACGTGTGAACATTGAATGTCGACCTCACTGTCTTTAGTCCTCGTAGCCCTAGCTTCGCATCATGGGATTTGCTAAATATCAATAAATGTCCTCAGCGTGACTACTGACAAACTAATTGCCGTCAAAATTCAGACCTCACTTACTCTGACAACTCTCCTGATATCTAAACAGCTGTAATCCTGCTTTTGAACCTTAAGTTTGTGACAAGTGTGTGTAACTCGACCACGTCACAGTGGATTTTGGTATACTGAGTTTCGAGTCACTATAATTTTTCGACCAAGCACTGCATAATGACTGTCTACTTTGAGAATATAACGTTTTGGTGTAACCTATTTATCTGCAACACGACTTAGTAAATTGCAGGTCATCCAATGAGTATTATATACATTTATGAACTTTGAGGCACATACAACAAGCGGATCAGGTTAAAGCGAAATGCACCATTATCTGCTAGTCTGTGTTCATCGTCAGTCCCGGTGCACATCGTCACTACATGACTGAGGAATTTTAGCCATGGATACATCCAGAATTGTGCGTCGGTGGTATAGCGGTTAGGACGCTCGCCGACCATACACATGGTCCGGGGTTCGATCCCCGGCCGACGCATTCCTTTACCTCGCTAAGCCAGAAATAATGCTGGTGAAAAGGAAAGGTTGGGCATGAGGCTAGCGACCTCATCCTGTAAAATAAACACTGCTACAGAAACTTCAGGCCACTAGCTTGAAGCCCTATGTTCCACTGGGGAACGTGAAGGAAAAAAAATACATCCAGAATACCCCCTTATTGCGCCTTTGACACTAATCACCTTTGGTGTATGCCTTTCTGTTACCACAGCTATACAAAATGCCCCGCCGATCTTCCAACTCTAACTCAGAAGAATCTCCCGTTGCCAGACGCACTAGTGCTAGGATCGCTGCTGCTCAGGCGGCATCCCCTACCAAGTCTCCAGTCAAGTCTCCCCGCCGTAAAGTAAGTTAACTCATAGATTGACACTTTTCCAGCGACAGTCTACTGAAGCGACTAAATTGGCTTCTGAGGATACCGAATCTCAGCAGTCACAGGTTAAAAGCGAAGATAGCATAGAAGAGATGAATGGTATTGATAACCTTGTTAAAGATACCGAAACTACTCCCGACCAAACTGAAATACCCCATAAGAAGGCTAAAGTCATTGAAGAAACAAGCAGTGATAACAAAACTGTATCTGCACATTGTGTAGATCAGTCAAGTTCTAAAGAAAAGGAAAGTGAGGTATCGCCAAGTGTAACGCACACTCAAGAAATAAACGCAGTGGCTAGTGATTTTGAAATTGTTGAGCATAGCTCAGTTCCATCAGCTGATAGCGCCGAAGTACAGGCAGCTATCTCTGTTCAAGGTGAGGACGGCCAACTTCTAGTCGGGTTTGTCCAAGTAGATAAAGAAGAGCTCCCAGCTGCAAACAGTTTGGAAATCAAACAGATAATTGCTTCAGAGGCTGAAAGCGAGAAATTAGCCTGTGGCCTGGAAAATGTTCCCAAGACGGAGACTATATCTGAATCCGCTGTCAACAACCTAAATGGCACTGTTGAGTCAAAAGAGCTTACTAAAGGTAATTTCTGTTTTTAACTAGTTTAAAAAATTCAGACGATTCAAAAGCTAACGGCACAGTGGATAATGAAACCCATCATAAGGCCCCTGTCTCCACCGAACAGCCTGTTGTCCAGTCACTTGTCGCGCCTGCTGCTGGAGATATTGTTCCCGAAGTCGTACCTGAAATGATTTCTCAACAATAGTTCATTCCTCGTTCATCAGACACCTGTCACATCACAGGCATCATAAGCTGACTGATTAGTTATCTGTTAATTCGGCAGCCCGGTCGTCGAGAATTTGTTTTCTTTAATTATATGTTCAGTAATGGATACCAGACTTTTATAGAAATTGAAACAGTCAATTGTATTGTCTCCTGTCAGCCGAAATGCACATCACATTTCCTACTCATCCTCCCTGTAGGTCACTGATCTCAGCATATACAATGTGTCTGATACTTAATGATAAATGAATTTTTTTCTTTATTTGCTTTTTCTTTCATTCTTTATGTAAACGCTTATTTCACTAAATCCACTGTGTCGATATACTTCATATATTCATATACGCTTGCAAGATTTTGTATCCTACTCGTCATTGTATGTTCGTTCTTTAACATTTCCATAGTTTCATGTTTATAGCCACTTTGCAAGTTATCGCGTTGCCTGTATTATCACACTCCATTTGCATTTGGTTGTTTATAAAAATTAAAGTTCATGTCTAATATTTGAATAATATTTTCTGTAAACTGTCAAGTGTTCACATGACTTCTTCAAATTAATCATACTCTGCTCATTCCAAAGGAGAAATTTTGGTGTATGATAATTAAAATCTGCGCCAGCTCATCTGACTGTAAGCCAATGGTACGATCTTGTGTTCACTTAATAAAGGGTTCCTAGACTAAATTCCTAAAAGTTTACGGCGTATTATTCAGCGAAGTTGATGAGTATCAAGTGGCTGATTTCATTCATACATGCACGAGTAAAAGTGTCTATGCCAATCAATACCACATGTTTCATTTATACCCAATACACCTCAATTATCTGGCTAAATCAAGTATTGAATTAATTCAGCTTCTAATTAACATAAATTCAAGTTAATGCGGTTAGTCTGCAAGGTCCTTTTACCTCCCATAGATTAACCGATATTATTCGTCTACTACAATGAACTAATTTAGTCACCTGGAAAAACTTATATCGATCTGAATGTTGAAGTTACTAACCACTTAACATTTGGACTTTATTCCTATGCCACTAGTTACCATTGATTTCAGGGCAACCATGTTAGATGATACCAACAAAATAGGACCTTACTTACACACGTTCTTCGCACTTGTTATATTAAGGCAAGTCGTGCTTGCTAACGAATATCTACACTGTTTTACTACATGTGTGAATATCTAGTATCGTGTTTGTGGAGCGATAATGTTATGAAGTCTTTGACTCATATTCGAAAAGGATAAAGCAGCACTCAGTTTTACTTCAACTGTTGTTTGACGACTAACGTCAGTGCCTTTCTTCTTCATACTCTTATTATGATTATAAAGAATGATATAGATTTCCTGTAATTGAGAGAATAACGGAGATTCTCTCAGATATTCATCCTACATAGTAGATAACAGAAATGTATTAATACACTGCTGGTAATATTTTGATGTCAGACAGTAGTGTACAGAATATTTTGCGGAAAGTTGGTGCAGTATAGTTGACGGTTAGCGAAAGTCAGTGGGAACCTGCAGTCTCATAAGAACTAGTCTCGTCATGACACTTAATTACTCCTGACTAAGTGTGATGGAGCTAGTCACTTGAACGTAAGCAGAGTGAAAGTTTCATAAATGCGAGATGTGACAGACAAAAGAAATAGTTGAAGCACCTACAATGTTTAATAACCACCAACTGTGTAGGATTGTTAAGGTAGTGGGTCGATAAAAATTATGGTCATTAGAACATTTGAGATTTTTAGTAAACCTTTGACGAGCAGTCCGGTTTTCGATCAACCAAACAGGTACCAAACTGACGAAGTTTAAACTTGCGGCACTTAACTTGAACTAGTGGTCATTACTCACCGTCATCCGGTGTTTCTGTATGAGTGATGGTGAACACTAAGACCGTACCTATGGGGGATACAGTCTTCAAGTTTAGAAGAGTCGCGTTGCATAGTATCATCTTTCTCTTCAAATAAGTCGAAATGTCTAGTTCGTTCATGTTACGCGTTTGCTAAAATAACAGGTATATTTCTACATGCTCGCTAACTCATATTGTTGATACAAAAGTAGTTTTTTTCCTTATTTTAATTTTCATGTCCACTATTATTTCATTCAACATTCCCATGTAACTGGATTGGATTTCTTGTATTAATGATATCTATTAGATACCTGAAAATGTATTAAGGATAAGGTGTACTCAGAAATGTTTTTTGTTACTAAAACATGATAGAGCATAAGGAATTTAAGGAGTCTTCAACCCCAAATGTCTTAGTAATTTGGCTGGCATATGCTAGAACTGTCATATAAGTGTTACATAACCTAGTTAGAATAGAAGTCGGCTAGCGTGTCTCTGAACTTTCAGTGGCTGTACCGTTTAGGTCATGTATTACCCATCCCTAATCACTGTATAAATCCTTAACGTATGTAAGGAACCCAAAAGGAATTAACATTTTTATCTGAGTCACATAACACTCCAGGTTTGTCCTTATGATGCAAAATAGGCGGTAAAGAAAACTTCTGACATTTCAAAAGCAGTTGTAGTGTAGTTTTTATGTGTATACGCACAACCACTTTCCATCATACTGCTACTTGTGACCTAGTATTGTCATTCGTTTTGACGTTAGATGATCATTTCGAATCTTCACACTACAATGCAAAATTCTGAGTTTTTTTTGTCTATCAGACTTGCTTATCTCCTCATGCCTCTCAAGTCAGTTTTAACAGCGCTGTATGATCAAACTACTCTGAAGTCTCACATGCCTCTGTTTATTTGACAGAAGTGAGAAAATAAAGATAAGTTCTTAATTCATTCCCAATTGACAGTTCCTCCCTTGGTCTGATGGCTGGGGTTGCATATCGCAATGAGCAGACAACCTACGTTGGCTGTAACTAATATTACTGCAGGCTTACGACGCGGTAAAAATCGTTAGGAGAGCGGTTTTAATAAATGCAGTAAGGACCGTCATTGGAGTTTTTTTTACACTATTTTAGGGGTTTGTGATTGGAGTTGTACTGCTGGTAAATAACCATTACGCTAACTATGCTACCTCTCTGCTCTAGGGAAGGAGGATGGTTAGGAAAGGTTAACTCCGTAAATTGTATATCCCATCTTAATGCAGACGCTATCCTAAACACCAAACAGGCCATCTGTAACTAAACTCTGCAGTAACGCAATACTAATTCTCCTGTTTCAGGTACTCTATGAAGGAACCAGCTTACACTTGAAGTAATTACTGCTCACACACTTCCATTAGCACACAAAGCTTCCGTGTTCATTACTCGATCTTATCTTGATTACTTTCATAATCTTGCTTTAATGCTGCTATAAATACCTTTTCATAGGCAAGCACCTTACTTCCCTTTAACTCTGCGACCTCTAATAGCAACGAGAACCGGATAACAATTACTGGTAGTCTATTAAAAGGCACATCGCCAACTTTGTATAGGAGCATATTATGCCAGGACCCTTTGCCTAATTAGATGATACAACGACACCTCGAGACATGGTTGTATGTCGTGTTTCGAAGTTATGCGTAGAAGATCCGAATGTGTTGTTATCCACTTAAGCCAAACGCAGTGGATCTACAAAGATCACCTTATGGATCTCAAGGGTTTCCTGGTTATTCAAGCGTTAGTTTTCAGGAATTTGATTTGATTCGGTACACGATTTCATCGTGAATTGGTAGAAGTTCGAAATCATGGGCCATTGGATCAGGTCCCAGTGGCTAAGTGGTCTACGAGCTCGCTTTATGACCGGAAGGTCCTGGGTTCAAACCCCGGTGGGTGCGCACTTCTGAAGAGTCCCAATATGGGAAGAAACAGCCGTCCAGTACTCCCAAGTTCTCCAATGTGCGATTCCCAAGCTGATGTCAGCTCATGATGAAATCCTGTAAACAATTCTTTGGTTGGTTCACGGGGACTTGCTGGTGTAGGGGATGGCAGTGAGTGGTAAGATGAAGAAATCACAACTTGACCGAATTTATAGCGGATGTGTATGCTAACCGCCTGGACAGTTCCGTCAGAAGATAAGATTTCGAAATCCATCGATTTCTTTCCATGATATCTACTTACTCCCATACAGACTAATCTCGGACGAAATGAAGGACGAGTTCTTCCAAAAGCGAAATATCGAGGAATTGCAGGTGACTTCAGTGGCTAAGGGGGGAAGTTGCACAAATATGAAAAGTATATTAGCAACACCTACGGAGTCCCATGACGACTTACTTACTTTACTTCGTCTATATCCTACGGGCGGATGAGCCGGCATCATGAACATCCCATGACGACGAACCTATAGCAGTAACCAACTTTTATACTTGTGTTGAGGTAACTATCTGTCCACATTCTCGAGCAGTAGTGTTAAGATGAAGTCTATCTGGATTTCGGTGTGTCCGTCAGATGAAGTCTATGTCGCCTTGTGTATAGCCTCGTGCTTGTACACGCTACCTCCTATCACCGAATCATTGAATGCACAGAATTCTCCGAATAGCTCACCATCCTCATTCATTTCTCAGAGAGTCTCCTTACCTATGACAAGTTCTTTTCCCGTGTTGTTTGCTCCCAGTTCGGCGTCCACATCACCCATTAGAATTTCATTGTTGTTATTTTGTTTCTTGTCCATTACTGTTTGGATTGGTCTGCAGAATTCTTTCTTCTGTTGATCTTCGATGTTTGTAGGTGCGTAGCACTGAGTAATTGTAACCTCCCTACACACCAAGCCTTCGCTCTATTTTGCAGCTTAGTAACAGTAAGTAAACTGAACGATTTTAGAACATCTTGTAATCAGTCTGATTTTCATACGGCTTATTCGTTAGCTGCAGTGGCATTTGATGACATTTGTTTTTCAACGTTATTTCACCTTCCAGAAAAATGGTAAATTTGGTTTCAGTATTTCTATGCAACGGAAAGCAGCAGAGCCTGATAGAATTAATCCACTGCTTTATAAAGACGGTGTTGGTGACATTGCTTTCTGGACTGACTAACGTATTAGGCAACATCTTGTAATCAGATATAGTCGCGTCGAATTGGTGTCAGTCATTGTTCATCCCAATATACACGAAGGGAAACAAGTCTTCCTGTGGTAATCATAAAGGGAATAGCTTGACTAATATGATATCTAAAGTTTTTGGCTCAATAGTCACGCGTAGATTAAGTGGTGCCGGAGAGAAATAAACATGATAAAACCAGGCAGGCTTTAGACCAGGTAGAGAGTGTATTGATCATTTATCCACCCCTCGACAAATTCTGGAACAGGAATATTTACCGGCGTTTAACAATCGCCACATTTCCTGACGTGAAGGCGGAATTCAACTCTGTCGACCGAGTAGTATTACGGTAATGTTTGGTCGAGAAGGTATGTCACTAATCAGGGCACCCTACACGAACTCATACAGCTGTGCAAGAGCTTATGGAGAGTTTCCATCTGAAGTGATGACAGCCAGTGGTGTCTTTCACGGATGCCCACTGTCCCCGTTTCTGTTTAATGTCATCATAGATGTACTACTGGAAGTTGATCCTAATTGACTTCAGTTACTTATGGATTGACTTGTCACCAGGGTATAAATAGTCTTGTCGAATTAGAATATGCGGATGACATATTACTTCTAGATGAAGACGCTGATGAGATACCGAGTCTTCTGAACACCTTGAGTTGCAGTCTTCGAATGTATGACATGCGATTCGCCCCTGTCAAGTGTAAGGCGGTTCTGCAGCACTGGTTTGCACCGACTCTTGGTCTGAAGACAAGAAGTGAAGTGATTGAGCTTGTTGACCACTTCCCTTATCTGAGAAGTTGCATGAGACCTGATATAGTGATTGCTTACGAGATCTCAGCGCGGATACAAAAGGCACGTGTGGCATTTACCAATTCACATCGTTTCTGGCATGGACGTGATATCCGGCTATCGATCAAAGGATATATGTACTATGCAGTAGTTTGGTCTATCTTCCTTTGTGGC